CCTGACTTCTGTGAGCGAGACCCGACTGTGGGCTCACCAGGCACCAGAGGCCGGGCTTGCAACAAGACGAGCCGCCTGCTGGATGGCTGCGGCAGCCTGTGCTGTGGCCGTGGGCACAATGTGCTCCGGCAGACACGAGTGGAGCGCTGCCACTGCCGTTTCCACTGGTGCTGCTACGTGCTGTGTGAGGAATGCAAGGTCACAGAGTGGGTCAACGTGTGTAAGTGACGTGAGCCGCACCTTGGGAATAAGGAAGAACGCTGTGTGATGGGTACGCCTTTTCAACCCTTTGCTCTGATTTCTGTTCAGGGTTAATCATGGCCCCTGGAAGCTCAAAGCACCTACCTGGAAACAGCTTTGGGGGGAGTAGGGTCAGGTGAAATCTGTGATGAACAGCCTTTGGCGAGGAAAGAGGTCACCATATTCTGTTCTTAAACACGCGAATGGACTGAGATGCAATGCACTGCATTGTTCCCCTCTGGGGTCTCTTGGGCCCAGATTTATACTCCTTTAGATAGGGAGGCTATCATCCGACCACTCGTCTTCCTTGAAGGATAACAGCAGGCATTGTGTGGAGTCATTAAGGCCTGTATATAGAAAGAGACCACCTCTTCCTGTTTGTGGTTCTCAAACTCCTCCACTACAAACCAGAACCTCCTCCTCTTGTGGGGCCACGCGTGACAATAAGGAGACGTTTTCGGTTGGAAAAGGACAGAAGACTGTGGGGGAACTCTCCTCCCAGTCCTCAGACAGCTGTCTGCTCAAGCTCTTAGGGAATCCTTCTCCTTCCAGTGGCTGGAAGGGTCCCTCCAAAGGAAAGGTCTTCGCTATGACCCATAGAGGCTTTTCCCTTTTTCAGCAGGAAGGGTGGGAATGGATAATTTATTGTACTGAGACATGTTCTTGGTTCCTGTTTGAAACTAAAATAAATTAAGTTGCTGGACTGGCTGCTGGTGGATGCCGATGGTGGTGTGTCTAGCCACACTTGGGGTAGCAGCCTGTGGTTTTGTGTTTTGTTTTGTTTCCTATGTGAAGCCTACACTCCTGTACTCAGTGACTTTTTATGTATATCCTGCTGACTTCCACGAAGGATTTGAAATGATGCTCTGTGACTGAGTTCAAATTTTCAGTCTGTAAGACCAAGGTGGGCTTCTGGGTGGGGGGACTTACAGATCCAAATGTACACAGAGTCTGCTCACCCTGAGCCCTCAGCTCTAGGCATCACCTCTGTCATTACTTAGAACAAAGGTTGGCAACTCTCTTTAGCCTGCAAAGGGCTGGATGACAAATATACAAGGCTATTTATACTATGGTCTTTATGCCATCTACTCACCTCTACCATAATTACTCAATTCTGCTGTTATAGACCCAAAATAGTTATGGGCAGGGGGATGGACAAAAGCAGACACAGACCATACTTAATGGATGGGTATAGTTGTGTTCAACACAGTCACAAACTGGTGTGCAGGGCCAGCGTGCTCCTCTGGCTGTCATTCATTGACCCCTCTCCTATGCAAGGTCACATCTGCTCTGGGAGTTTCAAGTGTTAAATGTTGTGTGACAATGAATGTGAACTTAGAAGAGCAGGTACTGTTGTCTCTGAGTCCGAGCCAGACTTGGGGAGGGTGGCAGTACATGCAAGACCCATGGGAAAATACAAAAGGGATTCCTGTCTCAAAATGCAAATTATATACAGAGGCTGCCCTCATTCTCCTGAGTACTGGGATTGATCATGGGTGGGCCCTACCAGGCCCAACTGAAATGAGATTTTTCTAGCAAAACTAGCATTCTCTGCCAGTGAATTATCTGCATATATGTTTTGTTCTTTATTCATTGTTCTTTTGTATTTAACCCAAGTAAAAGAATTCCTTTATCGTTTAAATTTTTTCTACATTTATTTGTGATGTGTGCACATGCATGTGTGTGAGTGCACATGTGAGTGGATGCAGGCATGCCCATGGCACTCATGTGGAGGTCACAGGGCGACTTGCAGAAGCCAGCTCTCTCCTTTTACCACACGGGTTCCAGAGACTGAACTTAGGTCTTCCAGCTTGGTGGCAAGCACCCTCACCTGCTGGGCTATCTTGCTGGCCCCTCCCTTATCTTTTCAGATATAAGTAGAGAGAACAGAATTTCTTCTCCAATATATCCAATTCCTAGCCAAATATCTTTGAAAAAAAACATTTGTTTGGTTTGGGTTGGTTTTCCCGAGACAGAGTTTCTCTGTGTAGCCCTGGCTGTCCTGGAACTCAATCTGTAGACCAGGCTGGCCTTAAACTCACAGAGATCTGTCTGCCTCTGCCTCCAAAGTGTTTGGATTAAAGGTGTGTGCCACCCCCACCTGGCTGAAAAGAAACGTCTTTAAGATGCAATGTGGGGGTGGGGGTGGCTGGAGAGATGGGTCAACAGTTAAGAGCATTGTCTGCTCTTCCAGAGGACAAGGGTTCAATTCCTAGCACCCACATGGCAGCTCACAACTGTCTGTAACTCCAGTTCCAGGGCTTCTGACACACTTACACAGACATACATGCAGACAAGACACCAGTGCACATAAAATAAGAATAAATAAATCTCAGCCAGGTGGTGATGGTGCATGCTTTTAATTTCAGCACCCAGGAGGCAGAAGCAGGCAGATTTCTGTGAGTTTGAGGCCAGCCTGGTCTACAGAGTGAGATCCAGGACAGCCAGGGCTACACAGAGAAACTCTGTCTCAAAAAACCAAACCAAACAACACCACGAAAGAATAAAATAATTTAGTGTGGACAAAGGATTTGCAGCACACTTTCAGAACACCTGCATATTTAGGGGGCCAGAAGATGCTCCCAGGGAGATTAGAGCCAACACCTGCTGCTCTTGCAGAGGACATGGATTCAGTTCCCAACACCCATGTGGTGGCTCACAACCATCTGTAACTCCAGTTCAGAGGATGGCCTCTGCAAGCTCCTACACATGCATGGCAGGTACACATGCATGCAAAAACACTCATATGGAAAATAAAAATAAATATTAAAAATAACACCAAAAAGATGATGCCAGGGAATGCAGAAATAATTTTCCATTCCTCTCCAGGCAAGAGATGTATCTGCTGCCCACGTTTCTCTTGCCCACGTTTCTCTTAAGTCAGGTGACACAGCTGGAGTGGGGGGGACCAGAAGAGTTTGAGAAGTGTTGGGTCAGGGTAGTGCTCCACAGTGACATTACAACTTTTTCTTTTGGGAGGCCAGGTATGATGGTGCATCCTTTTAATCCCAGTACTCAGGAGGCAGAGGCAGAGGCAGACAGATCTCTGTGAGTTCAAGGCCAGTCTGGTCTACATAGTGAGTTCCAGAACAGCCAGGGCTCTGTAGAGATACCCTGTCTCAAAAACAAAGCAAAACAACAACAAAATTTGGGGGGGAGGTTGGAGAGATAGATCCATGATTATGAGTACTTGTTGCTTTTGTAGAGGACCTGGGTTTGATTCCCAGCTACCACATGGAAGTTGTCAACTGTCTGGAACTCCAGTTCTAAGGGATCCAACACCCTATTCTGACTTTCACAGGCACTAGGCATACACATCGTACACAGACATACATGTAGGCAAAACACTCATATACATAAATAAGTCTAAAAATTAAAAAAAATATGTGTCTATGTACATGTATGAGTATCCAAAACAGAGTCTTGAATTGGCTGGAACTGAAGTTTTAGGGTGTTGTGAGCTGCCTGGCATGGGCCCTCTGTGAGCCATCTTCTTAGCTCCATGGCGACAGTTTATCAGATGTCAGACACTTGCTCACTTGAATGAAGAGAGGAGGAAAGGAGAGGGGACTGAAGTAAGAACGGGCTTGGATAGACCAAGACTAACGGGAGTATCCAGCATGGGGATGCCTTATATTCGGGAGGACATGCTCTCCAGTGGCACTGTGGCTGGAGCATCTGAGCTTTTCCTGTTTCCATCCTCCTAGTCCCTCTGGCTCCCTTCCTTTCCTGGCGTCCCCTTTTCTTCCATCACACACTCTGTGGCAAACTTAAGCCCCAAACCACAACCTTGACAAATTCCAATTGGATTTTGTCAGCAAGGCCAACACCCCCTCCCGGCAGAGGCACTGGGCTCAGGCCCAGGTCTGGGGTCAGTGACAGGGTGGGAGTATGCAACCCACAGAGCTGGTGGCTACAATTTCAGCTTTTACTGGGCTTCAGTGGCAGCCAGAGGGAGGAGAGAGATTGATGAACTGTAAGTCAGGCTGCTGGGCTCTAACTCTGGATGAGCAATTTCTGCTCCACTCCCGATCAAGTGGCTAGTAGGGTGCAGAGTGGCAGCGAGCAGCTAGCTGTCGGCAAGGTATCTGCTCTCTCTGCTCCTGCTTGTGCCGCAGCCAACCCCCTCTGATGCTACAACTGATACCCTTCTCCATACTCCAGAAGGGTGAGGGACAGACAAGGACAGATCTGATTCTCCAGTCCCATCCATCATCCCCAAATTATAAATAGCAATTCCTCCTAGCCATATGACGCTGTCAACCATTTTTATCTTTTTTTGTTTTGTTTTTTTTGGTATGAGTGTTCTGCCTGCATGTGTGCCTGCGTTCCAGAAGAGGGCATCAAATCCCATTACAGATGGTTGTGAGCCACCACGTGGGTGCTTGGAATTGACCCGGGTCCTCTGGAAGAGCAGCCAGTGCTCTCAACCTTTGAGCCATCTCTCCAGTCCCCATTTTTATCTTTCTCTCACTCTGGCATACAATCATGAGAGAATCTAAAGTCTTCATTCATTTCCCTGTGTTTGTTCCAATTCCCTGTGGGGGTCCACAAGGCATGCTGGTGTGGCTGGGACACTAGGGAGCGGGGTGAATGGTTGTAAAGCATAGTTTTGGTGGTGGGTGTGGGGGTGGAGTGTGTTTAAAAGTTTTAGGAAAGAAATGGAAAGGGTAATAATCACATAGAAGGTATGTCACAGTGTCTACTATATGACAGTCTTAGGGTTTCTAGTGCTGTGATAAACACCACGACCAAAAGCAACCAGCGCAGGAAAGGGTTTATTACACCTCACAGATTCTACAGTCCATCACCGAGGGAAGTCAGAGCAGGAGCAGGAGCTCAGCAGAGGAACTTAGAGGCGGGAACTGAAGCAGAGGCCATGGAGGAGCGCTTAGTGGCTTGTTCCCCATGGCTTCCCCAGCCTGCTTTTATTTATTTATTTTTTTAATTAAAAATACTTTTTAGAAGTAATTTGTTTATTTTTTAATTTTTGGTTTTTTTTTTTTTTTTTTTTTTTTTTTGGTTTTTCGAGACAGGGTTTCTCTGTGTAGCTTTGCACCTTTCCTGGGACTCACTTGGTAGCCCAGGCTGGCCTCGAACTCACAGAGATCCGCCTGGCTCTGCCTCCCGAGTGCTGGGATTAAAGGCGTGCGCCACCACCGCCCGGCTAATTTTTGGTTTTTTTGAGACAGGGTTTCTCTGTGTAGTTTTGGTGCCTGTCCTGGATCTCACTCTGTAGACCAGGCTGGCCTCGAACTCACAGAGATCCACCTGCCTTTGCCTTCTGAGTGCTGGGATTGAAGGTGTGCGCCACCGCCATACAGCAAATTCAGTATCTTTAAAAGCATTCAAAGTCTCTTTTAAAGTTCAAAGTTTGTTTAAAATATCCAAAAATCTCTGTAAAATTCCAAAGTCTCTTAAGTGTGGAGTCCTGTAAAATGAAAAATAAATAACTTACTTTTGTATACTTTGAAAAGGGGAAACCAGGGCGATTACAAACAGATCAATGCAAAACCGAAGTCCAACACTGTAAAAAGTTCAGTGCTGATGGCTGGGCCCTCTCATGATTCTCTGGGCCCCCCTCATGATTCTCTGGGCCCCACTCATGATTCTCTGGGCCCCAAAGGGCTCCATCTCCCCAACTCTGCCAGCTTATCTCTCCTGGCTCAGGCCAGCTCCACTCCATAGTTACTGTCCTTGGCAACTGTCCCCTTCTACCTCCAAAATGCTGAGGTCTCTGCTGCAACAGGGCTGCACCTTCGCCCACCGCTTTTCTTGGGCTCTTTTTAGGGACTCTAAGCCTGCCACATGGTGCCAAGTCTCCTTCAGTGAGTCCTTCAGTCCCGGGGCTTCTGCTGCAATAAGGGCTGCACCTTCAGCAATGGCCTCTCCCAGTGCCAATCCTTAGCTACTCTCCACGACCCCTTCATACCTTCAAGACCAGTACCGACCAGGAGACTCTTACACATTACCAAATCCAGCTGACAAGGTGAGGTACCGTCTTGACCCCCTGGACCAAGAGATTCTTGCTGACCCTGAGGAAACACTAGGAGATTTCACCTTAGTGATGCTATTCTCCTCCTCCTCCTCCTCCTCCTCCTCCTCCTCCTCCTCCTCCTCCTCCTCTTCTTTTTAAGACAGGGTTTCTCTGTGTGGCCCTGGCTGTTCTGGAACTCACTCCGTAGACCGGACTAGCCTCAAACTCAGAGATCCGCCTGCCTCTGCCTGCTGAGTGCTGGGATTAAAGGTGTGTGCACTACTGGCTACTTCAGCGGTTCTTAATGAAAACTATCAGAATCTTTAAGGGACTCTCAATGTCTCCCGGTGACGTCACAAGCTGGGCCTCCTTTGTCTGAACTGCTCTCAGCATTATCTTACAGTTCTCACAACAGCCCACTGAGCTCTCAGGGGGCCACGGCTTTTCCAGCCCAGGGTTCAAATGCCACCATAATCCTCCGTCAAAACACACGGTCAGGTCTGTGACAGCAAGGATCCCACTCCTAGGGCTTCTTCTGCTGTTACAAAACACTACGATGAAAAGCAGCTTGAGGTGGAAGGGTTTATTTCATTTCACAGACTGCAGATTCCATCCCTGAGTTGGAAGTCAGCACAGAAACTCAGGGCAGGAACCTGGAGGCAGGAACTAAAGCAGAGGCCATGATGCAGTGCTGCGTATAGGCTTGCCCCCCGTGGTTTGCTCAGCCCGATTTCTTTTTTCGAGACAGGGTTTCTCTGTGTAGCTTTGGAGCCATTTCCTGGAACTCACGCTGTAGACCAGGCTGGCCTCAAACTCACAGAGCTCCGCCTGCCTCTCTGCCCCCCACCCCCAGTGCTGGGATTAAAGGCATGCACCACCACCACCTGGCTCCATAGCCTGATTTCTTATGCACCTGGGAACCACCTGCTCAGGGGTGGTACCTCTCACAGTGAGCACAGTCCTCTCACATCAATTATCAAAGACAATATCCCACAGGCCAATCTGATGGAGTCATTATCTCAATGGAGGTTCCCGACTCTCTAGCTTATGTTCAGGACACAAGATTAGTCAGCACAGTAACTATATTTGGGGAGTCTTTTGCCTTTAAAAACCCAGAGTTTGGGCTGGGTTTTGGAGATAGTTCAGGCATTGAAAGTATTAGCAAGACAAGCCTGGTGACCTGAGTTTGATCCCCGGAACCTGTGTAAAAAGCTGGAGAGTTTTACTGCTCTTGCCTCTAAAGGACCAGGTTCCCAGTACCCATGGGGGACAGCTCACAATGCTTGTAAATCTAATTGTAATCTTATAGTCCAGGGAATCTTATAGTCTTCTCCCTGCAGCAGATACGCATACTCACAGGCACCCCCCCACACAGACATCTGTGCATACACATAATTAAAAATAAATCCTTTTTGCTGGGTGTGGCGCAAACCTTTAATCTCAGTGCTCAGGAGGCAGAGGCAGGCAGATTCTCTGTGAACTCAATGCCAGCCTGGTCTGTAAAAGTGAGCGCCAGGCCAAGCTGGGGCTACATAGGGAGCCTGTCTCAACCAAAGCCAACACCAAACCAAGTTACACACAACAACAAATATTGTTTAAAAAGCTGGATGCCCGTGATGCATCTGTAACCGCAACATTCCCACAGCAGGATGGGGTGCGGAGTCAGGAGAATTGAATAGAGCTATCCTGGAGTGCGAACCACAGCGGCAGACACTAGAGATCCTGCCCCAACAACGTAAGAGGCAAGAACCCACTCCTGAAAGATGTCCTCTGCCCTCCACACCTTGCTATGGCACGAGCGCACCCACAATCTCTCATACAAGCGCACACACACACTAAGTGAATAAATGATAAAAAGCAAACAACAAAACCATCCCAGAGCTTACTACAGAAAAGATCTCAGCAGCAGTGAGTCAGGACAAGCTCCTTGCTGTACATCTCATCTCTCACCTTCTCAAATTAAGGTCCTCTTGCTTTCATAGTCTACAGTCATGTTATTCTTTATTGTGTTTGCTTGGTTTTAGGCAGGGGTTCTCTGGCTGTCCCGGAACTCGCTCTGTAGACCATGCTAACCTCAAACTCAGGGATCCACCTGCCTCTGCCTCCTGAGTGCTGGGAGTCCGGCCAGTCATATTATTCTTGAGGTAAACATACCAGAGAAGACAAACTGGTATATAAGAGGATCTGGTGAGTGCATACACCAGAGATGGTCAGGACAAGGGATAGACACTGGGTGGCCGCTTTCCAGCCTGTTTCCTGGAAGAAGATGAGTCAAGCCCTAGGGAAGAGCTATGTGTTCTCTTATATTGCATGCATTCAGTGTCACTAGTGAAGAGTGCTTCTAGCGCAGCTTCTAATATAACTTGTCACTAGTCTCAGGTAGTATCTCCATCACGTTAAAAAAAAAAAAGTGTAAGAGAAGGAAGGAGGGAACGTGGGTGCTCTTTCCTGGGGTGCCAAAATCCATACTCATCTAGAGAGACTTCATCAGACCCGCCTCTGAGTAATTACGTTTCTGTCCTTTGTCTTTCAACTCCCTAAAACGACCCAGATTCCAGGTGTTTCCTTTGGTATCTCTCTCCTCTTCCTTTATGGAGAAACGGTCTCTGGAATCAGACCTCATCTAGAAACTATCCTCAGGAATCAGTTGAGCGGCGCTGCAAGCTGGGTGCGTGTGGAGCGCTGTTTCCTAGAAACAAGGACTGGCGTAGAGAGAGGTAGGTTCCAGCAAAGGTTTTCGCCATCCACACTCCAGGGTTGGCTCGGCCGGAGTGCGGCCTCGGTCCTCGATTCCAGGCCAGGCCCCTGCAGCTCGGGAGCCTCACCTCGGTCCCCCACAGCCTCCTCTCCACAACTCTGCCTCCGGATCTTCCAGCCCCCACACACACACAGGCCCCCGCCTAGTCCCAGCTTCAGCACCCGGCCGCTTCTGCTGCAGCCGCTGCCATGGCGACCGGGTCTCGCGAGAGCCGCCGCTCGCCGCCGCCGCCGCCGCCGCCGCCGCGCACTTCTCGCGCGATCGTGGAGGTGGGAAGTATCCCGGGCTGGGGGTGGGGGTTCGCCGCACATCTCCCGTCGCCGTCGCGGCTTCCGGTGCTAGGTGGAGGGAAGGAAGGAGGGAGCGGAGGAGCGGGCCAGCGGACCAGCTTCGCCGCGGTCGGCTCGGGGAGCGGGGAGGCAAAGCGGCCCGAGAGCCAGGCGGAACCTGCGGGGGCGGAGGTGGCGGCGGCAGCGGCGGCAGCAGCGGCAGCCGCGGCGCCCGGAGCAGGAACAGGTTCGGAGCTGGAGAGGGAAGGCGGGTCCGGGCAGGGAAGCGGCCGGCTGGCTCAGGGTGGGAGCCGAGGAGCCCGGGTTCCCCCCCCCCCACCCCCGCCGCCGCCGTGGTCCGGCCCGCACGGCCTGGCGGCGAGGTGCGGGGGACGCTGCCCGCGGAGCTGGAGGGCGGGGGGTCCCCAGCCCCGCTCCTGCCCCCGCAGCTGAAGGACGCCGAGCCGGGGTGGGGGCGGGGGGCGCACGCGGGGTTCGTCCTCCGCCTCGCCCGAGGGGGCGACCCGGGCTGCAGAGGTGGAGCGTTCGAGGGCTGGGGCGCGGGGGAGGCAAGCTGACCAGGGGGAGGTGATGCGGGGGCGGTGTGGCTGTTTGGATCTTTTCCTTCTCTTTAAAGGCTATGAGGAATGCTGCCTTTTTTTTTTTCCTTCCCCCTCTCTCTCTCTCCCTCGCCTAAGCTGTGTGTGTGTGTGGGGGGGGGACCAAAGAAAAGCCTCGCTATGGTTATCCTTCCTCACCCATCGTGAGGCACGGGGACTGGGGTTTTAGCTTCAGGGCCGACTGGTGAGGCACCGCTGCGCACTGTTCCCATGTTCTGCTTTGGGGGTGCTGGGAAGGGCAGGTTGGGAAGAGGGCAGCAGGTGGGGAGAGGGTGGAGAGGAGGCTGGAGAAGGGGGAGGGGGCCCTGAGCTCGCTTGGAGGAGAGAGGTGGGGCCTTCCTCCCCCAGGCGTAGCGGGGGCGGTCTCACCGGAGGAGGGAGCATCTTGTCACTGGCCCTGAGTTTGTGTCTTCCAATCCGCTTTCTTTCTCTAGGAAGTCCCAGGATTCCCGGAACAGAAAATGAAGCCATTGCTTACGCCAGTCCTTTGAAAGAACGGGGAGGTGGGGAGGTAAAGTTCCCTGTTAAAAACGGGCCACTTGATTAGTTAAGTGGTCACTCTCTTTGGGAGAGTCTTGTTCCTTTTTGGGGTTCTATTACTGCTGGTCTCTGGGCCAGGAAGAATGTGGTGGAGGAGTGTGTGGTCAGGAGCGAGAAGGAAATAGTGAGGTCATTAGGGTGAAGAGAAAGGTAATGTAAAACCTATTTCTGCTGCCGTTGGATTGGTTCACCCTCGGTCTGTGGCATGAAAGTTTTATTGGGAGATCTGCTGCAGGAGTCTGATCGCTTGACTCATGGCGACAGGATAGAATCTAGTCTGCATACCTCCAGTCAGGTAGATGGAGACTGTCTTTGCTGCCATTTTGTCTTAGGCCTGTTTGGGGGTAGTGTCTCCACTTGTTGGGACAGGCAGTGGCCGGAGGATTGGTCTTTTGTGTATTGGTCCTGAGTTTGAATAAATTGTTAAAGCCCATTTTAAGGAAGGCTCGATCCACTTAGGCTCGTCTTTGCACAGAATGAATCATTGACCTTGCAGGCAGCTGGAAAAGGAAGGCTCCATGTGGTACACACTCAGGCTCCTGCCACTTGCACAGTTTTCCTCCCTTCTTTCTCTTTCCCTCCCCTCCCTTACTTGTTTTTTTTCCTTTTCCTTTTCCTTTTTTGAGACAGGTCTCTCTGGGTAGTCCCCTTGCTGCCCAGCAGCTGCCTGCCTCTGTCTCTTGAGTGCTCAGGTTAAAGTGTGAGCCCCCACAGCAGAACCTTACTTCCTTTTTTGAGACATGCTAGGTTTGATGTCAAGGATCTTGCTTTTATAAGGTGAACACAGGGTAGGCGTGTGTGTAGAAATCTGCAAGGTTTCTAGCTGTGGTTCAAGGAAAAGAGGAGGAAGGCCAGGTCTGGCGACGGGGACCGTAACCTTAGCACTAGGAAGATGCAGCGGGGGATAGAGATTTAGGCCAGTCTGGGTTACATAGCAAGATTATCACTAACAATAAAATAAATACAAACGAATTGAGAAGTCTTGTCAGGTCTTAGGGTGATGCTGTAGAGTGTTCATCTTCTCCCTTTCCAGTATTTATGAGGTGAAATGGCCTTAAAGGACAGAGGCCATCTCTATTGATTAGAAGGAGAAACTTCTTCGAAACCAGGTTTGTTAAAGCTGGGGTAACAGTGTGAATCTGCTTCCTCATAGAACTGGAAATACATACCAAGAGGCCCAAGAGACGCGCATACCAGGGTGTTTGGCTCCTTTCACCATTTTGGTTAAAAGTGTTTTTAGAGACGGAACGAGAGAGTCATTAAAGGTGGGCTCTAGGATCGGACAAAATGGGAGGTGGGTTTCATCTGCTGTTTTATTGTGGACATTTGGTAAAATTTCTTGTTCTCGGTTTCATTTTCCTTGTGTGTAAAGAGGGTGATGGGAGCCGGGCGGTGGTGGCGCACGCCTTTAATCCCAGCACTTGGGAGGCAGAGCCAGGCGGATCTCTGTGAGTTCGAGGCCAGCCTGGGCTACCAAGTGAGTCCCAGGAAAGGCGCAAAGCTACACAGAGAAACCCTGTCTCGAAAAACCAAAAAAAAAAAAAAAAAAAGAGGGTGATGGGAGCAGCTACCTAACAGGGCTGTCATGAGAGCTAAATGAGACAAAAGTACTGAGTATTGTGCAAGACACGCACCAACACGTGTTAACTGCTATTAATAATCTTTTGTTGTAATAGCGATGACGAGGACACTTAGGGCCGCCTCAAAAGAGAGGAAGTTCATGAAAGCTGCTTGGTGCCCATGAGGAGGAACTTTATACAGTGTCTCACAGTGGTGACATCTCTTTTTCCAGTGTCAGTTTAGAGAGGCACTTCTTGCTGCTTCAGCAGGAGGTGAAGGTGGAGCGGGGCAGGGGCCCAGAACCATCATCTTGGATGTAAAGACATGGGTGATACCGTAGGCCTGGTGAGATGGTTCGGTGGGGAAGAGCTCTTGCCGCCAAGCTTGAAGGTTGAGTTTGATTCCGAGCTCCTGCCCTAGACCCACATGGTGGAAGGAGAGAACTGATTCTTACAAAGCTACTCTCTGGCCTCCAGACAAAAACGGTGTAAAAATAATTTTTTTTTTTTTTTTTAAAGAAAAGTCACTCTGTAGCTGAGTGTGATGAGTAAGACATGGATATACTTCTAGTACTTGGGAGGTAGAGGCAAGAGGATCAGGAGTTAGAGGCCATTGGATGCTACAAGAAACCTTGTTTAAGAAAAACGGGGCTGGGTGGCATTGAATGCCTTTTTAATCCCAGCACTTGGGAGGCAGAGGCAGAGGCAGGTGGATCTCTGTGAGTTCAAGGCCAGCCTGGTCTACATAGTGAGTTCCAGGACGCACTGGGATGTTACACAGAGAAACCTTGTCTCAAAAAAAGGGAGGCCCCAGAGGAGTTTGCCCAGTGGTTAGAGCTTGCTTGTTGCTGCTTATTTGGAGGACTGGTGTTCAGTTCCCAGCACCCACATCAGGAACCCACGGCACCTGTAACCTCAGTTCCAAAAGATCCAACAACCTCTTCTGGACTCCTAGGCATTGCATGCACACGTACACACTTATAATTTAATTAAAGAAGAAAGGATGTGGTCGAAGAGATGGCTCATCAGTTGAGAGCACTTTGGTTCCCAGCACCCACCCGAAATCATCCTTAACTTCAGTTCCAGGGTACCCGGTGACTTCTGCCTTGTGGGCCCCAGGCAGGTACATGGTGCTTGTACATATGCGTTCAAAACCCGAAGACACATCCATAAATAAGCCTTTTAAAGACAGGGTTAGCGGTGGAGCTCAGGTGGAGTGGCGCACATGAGCCTCACGTTCTGTCCCTGGCCAGGTGTAGTACCACAAACCATAGGGAAGTCAGAGGCAGGAGGATCAGAAATTAAAGATTGGGGCTGGAAAGATGGCTCAATGGTCAAGAGTATAGGCTCTTCCAGAGGACCTGGATGTGATGTCCAGCATCCACATGGCAGCTCAAGCCATCTGTAACTCCAGTTGTTGGGCATCTGACACCTTCTCTGGTTTCTGCAGGCACCAGGTACACAGGTGGTCCAGACATACATGCAATCAAAGCACCAGAACCCATAACATAAATAAAAATTATTTTAAAAACTTCAAGGTCATTCTCAGTACACATTGCATTTGAGGCCAGCCTGGGATAAATGAAATGTCACCCTGGATTTTTGTGTTTGTTTTGTTCTATTTATTTTGGTTTTTTGAGACAGGGTTTCTCTGTGTAGCTCTGGCTATCCTGGAACTCACTCTGTAGACCAGGCTGGCCTCGAACTCACAGAGATCCTCCCGCTTCTGCCTCCTGAGTGCAGGGACTAAAGACATGCACCCCCACCACCTGGCTAGTCACCCTGTTTAACAGAACACAAATCTGAGAAGTGACGCTGACTGACTGACAGGGAGGAGATGAACATCCTGGTTGAGTTTAGAGACTCAGTTCTCCAGTATTTAGGATCCCTGTTGACAGTGTTTCCTTTAGTTTTTGTCCTTTTAAGAATGTCCATCTGCCGGGTGGTGGCGCACACCTTTAATCCCAGCAC